TTCCTGCCCAGTACTTAGTAGGGGAAATGGAGCAATGGAGCTTTTTTCTACACCGGGGAGGGTCAGTCTACCTCCCGGGAGGTCTTTTAGCTTGAGAATTAGAGAACCTTTGAAAAGGCGCCCCAGAAGCTGGAAGGCTGGCGCGCTGGCTTCCCGCAGTTTTGCTGGTGCCTGCGCATTAGCCCTGCAGCTCAGCCCCTCGCTCCAGGTGACGAGCAGCGGGGGAGCACAGGGTCACCGTGGGCTGAGCACCCCTGCATCAGCGCCCACGGTCCTGCGGTGGGAGAGGCTGCCCCAAAATGCCCTTCCCTCCGACGGTGCAGCATTCAGATGGAAAGTGAGGCAAGCAGAGGAAAACCACTTCCCTACGATCACCCAGCATGCCAGGGGTGTCGATATTCCTGTCCCATGGCCTGTATGATATAGTTTCCTCCATCTGTTCACTGTTAACGAATGTGCACCCTAATGAACAGTGCTGCTATTTCAACATATCAAGAAAAGAATTTTTAGCAGAAGAATCATCGTATTTAAAATATTCCCCTTAAACACACTACTGTTTGATTGGAATATTAAATAATATTTGGATACCTAACAGCAAAGGCTAAGAATATTTCTGGGTACGCTGCTACTAGAAGTGATTCCTGAATGTGACTAAGAATTTAGTAGAAATAAGTAACGAGGGTGGAGGAGAGGTGTGCAGAGAGGAGTTGAGGTGGGTTTTTCTAAGTGGGGTTTTTTTTTTATTTCTTAAGAGCGATTGCAAGTATATATTTATTGATAATAATTAAATTTATTTAAATTCTCCAACTCAAAACTGGTTTTTTTTGTTGCTCAGAACGTGTATATTACTACTTACCAGCTAATGACATGGTTTCTCGTCTTCATATGTTTTTCATTGCAACTTTGAGAAGCTTCTAGGTTTGATGGTAGCAGTGAAGATAGAAAGATATGGTAGGGGAAGGACTGTTTGTACAAGTCGATTGTTTCTGGTGATCATGAATACACTCTGGATTTGAGGTTAGTTGTGTTTTTTTTTTTTCTCCCAAGAGCTTGGGCTCCATTCAAGCTGTTTGGCAAAACCCCTTTCCTCATGTGGAGAGAGTATAACTTACAAAAGTGGCTGTGGAGCCTCTGCACTTAAGGGAAAGAATGCTACCTTCCGCAGGACTTTGAAACTTTCATGGTTTATGTTCAATGCCTTATTTTGAAGAATCCTTTTTTATACTGAAGGTCAAAAGTAAATACTGCTGGAAAAAGAAATTAAATGGCAAACAGCACATTTTGCAGGAGTGTCACAAGATCTCTCTTGATAAATTTATATAAAAATCAGGGTCTGTTGCCTCCCAGGTGAGACTTCCACAATTTAAATATCTCTTAAATGAAATGCAAACCGCTTTTTTAAGAAAAGCATCGGGTTGGTCTTTTCAGAGTTGTAGTGTGTCAAGTTGGAGGGCCACTGAGAATGCTGAACAGGTTTTGCAGGAGTGCGGAAACGGGGAAGGGAGAAGGGCAGGGGAGACAAAGTTGGAACAGTCCCTTTCCCTTGAAAATACTACTCGAGCCATCGCCCTGGGGCTGTTCTGGCAGGGACGGGTGGCGTGAGCTCCCTGGGCCTCGCAGCACAGGCTGTTTAGTCGGGACTGACAGGATACTCCAGACTAATTTTTGACACTTAAGACACCTGAGAGACTTTGTCACAATGGTTTCAGCGGCTGTTCCGCCTTGTAAATGGCAGGTGCCGCCCTCGGTTGTTACGCGTGCACCTTCGCTGCAGGGCAGTAAAATGCTGATTAAAGCAGTGAATTGATTTCCAGCGTAGAAGCCTTTGCAGAAGAATCAATGAAAATGCCCGGGTTGTTAGCAAGACAGACAAGACAGAAGTACTTTGAGGTGAAAGTGGTGTTTATTAAAGAGACTGATTTGGGTTTTGTGAGTGCTGTCGGGAGGGTGTGGATCGCACTAGGAACCAGTGTGCTGTGTGGGCATTTGTAATGAACTGTGAAGAGTCAGGATTTTGCTGTGGTTTTATTTTCACTTTTCTTTTGACGTATTAGGAAGTGAAATGTATTGCAGAATTACCTTGGTGCTCCTCACCTGTCCAGATTCCCCGGTGCTAGGAGCGTCCTTTCTCTGTATGAGCACCGAGATGGGAAAATACTCACTTCCCTGCTGTGAAGCTTAGAGCTTTTCAAATGGAGGAGTTCTCTGGGCATGTTTCTCCGTGCAGTTTTAGAGCATGTTGCGTTGGAAAGAGACACGCGATCTCTTCCCTGTAGGTGCTTCCCAGGCATCCAAAGAGGAGGAGAAAGCAAGCGGATCCCAGCACGAAGGGCCAGGTGGAGCTAAGGTGCCCTCAGAATCTGCTGCGGCCAAGTCGTCGAGTGCTGTGGCAGAAACGTTCAGAGTTATTCAGGGGGCGATGAGTGAAGAGTACGTGCGAACTACTCAGGGCGTCTTTCAGTTTGAACTGTCGGGTAAGACCACCGCTCGCACAACCTGCACGTGCTCGCGCTCCTAGCAAAAGGCGCTGGGCGGTTTCAAACAGAAGCACTCCCCTTTTCAAGCTGGTCCCGAGACAGACCACCTCGCGTTCTGTGCTCCGTGATGCTCCGTCGCGGGGCCGACTTCGGC